CCGCTTCTATAGTTAGGTATTCCGTATTGACTTTCTGCATAACTATATTCAGGATTAGGAATAGCAGATGAAGAACCTCCAGTTGTGTTTCTATTTAAAATATCTTATTTTTTTAATTCGAAATACTCGCCTTCCGAAAGATCAGTAATAATATCAAGATTAATCAACATAATTTTACTTTCCTATCGTTCCCTTTGAAGATCTAATTTTTTCTTATCGTTTTTAGCCATTAACATCATAATCTGGTGCATTGTCAGTCTATCATTTTCTCGTTGTTCATGACTTTTTTTTAAATATCAACAATTTCTTGATTACTTTTATTGAGAGTTTCAAAGTCGAGGTTCTTTTCAATTGCATGTCGCCTCCTCATCTTCTCTTTCTTCCTTCTTGTCGGCCGACTTGTTGGCATATCGTCGTCATTATAAGTATATCCCTCATTATCCTTGTATGCAGGGAAAATTGCAAAGAAGAGAATAAAGAAAATTTGATTTTGATTCCTTTGATCTCGGTTACAACTTGATTACAAAAGAGAGGAAAACGAAATTGGTTCTTCCTCTTTGTTTAAAACTGGGTTCTTCACGATGGCGATGGAGTGTCTCCCCCGAATGCTTGCGTCGAGTTTGCTCTCCGTTGACGATCCGCACGTTTTGATTCACTGGAACGATGTCTTCTCCTCACGATTTGACGTTGTGGAGAACTTGCGTGGCAAGTTTGAGAACTCTGAACGAGTTTAGAAGAACTCTGTAAAAGAGTTGATTTGAACCGAAGATCGGTTAATAAGCCAAGGACAGAGGAAAGCTATGGTGGTCGATCTTAGCTGAGAAAATCCCACCGAACCCCAGCCAGAAGAGCCCCCGAACTGAATTGATCTTCAGTTATTTATAGAGGATTAAGGGGGTGAAACCGCCCCTTAAATCTCTCCTAAGCGGGGTGTAACCGCCCCCAAATCGTGGGAAACGGTTTTAGAACCGTTCAACTCATGTTGAATGAGTCAAACGCCCACGTTGGCGTTCAGGACCCTAACCTCACGTCTTAGGATTGAGACGCGAGGTTGGGTGTTGGCTGAACACCAATGAACACGAGGGTCACTCGCGTTTTGGCTTGTTGTAACGCGGGTTCGACCCTGGCGTTTTGATGTTGTAACGCGGGGTTCGACCCTGGCGTTTTGATATTGTAACGCGGGGTGCGACCTTGGCGTTTTGATGTTGAAACGCGAGGTTCGACCCTGGCGTTTTGATGTTGAAACGCGAGGTTCGACCCTGGCGTTTTGATGTTGAAACGCGGTGTTCGACCCTGGCGTTTTGATGTTGAAACTTGACGACGCGAGGGTCGCTGTGGCTTGACGACGCGAGGGTCGCCGTGGCTTGGCGACGCGAGGGTCGCCGTGGCTTGGCGACGCGAGGGTCGCTCACATTTCCAAAGTGGTGACGCGGGGATGACATCCGCGTCTCAGAATGAGCTATTTGACTTGTAGCTTCTTCTGTGGTGCATTGCAAGGACCGTTGTTCAGTAATCCTGGCTTTAACTGTTGTGGAGTGCGAAAGTCTTCAGATTACAGCCTTCTGGAAGTCGTCAGATTGTAACTTCCATCATCGGTGGTTGATGGGGGATAAGCTATCTATTGTGATTTTTAGACAGCCTACAATCCTCATTTAAATCGATGACATGAGAACTTGAATCTGATCCTTGAGATGAGCGGGGCTTTGAAGTTTTGAAAATTGCAGGCGATCTGACACTTATATTTGATCATTTCTCTACATCTTTTAAAATTGACCAAACATGATCAAATATAAACCCCTTTCTCTCTTCTGGATCTTCTACAAATATTATCCTAGCTCTTTTAATCTACCACAAGAGAGGAAGAAACAAATATTAATAACATGATAATAGATGATAATCAAGATTCTTGTTATTATAATGATTACTTACAATGTCAATCTTAGAAGCACCGCTTGGATTTAGGCGCTCGACTTGTCGAATGCATTCTCGAAATTTACTGATGGCCTTCATAATTAATTGCATTCGGCATGAGAGAGACTTCAGAGTCCTTTGAGCAGTACAAATACTAAAACCCCTTTCATGAAATAAAGCAGAAATTCATTCCCATAGCTTGTCCTTCTTTTGATTAGAACCCATGATTGGGTCTTGAGAAATTTCGAGCCACGCGGCGCATAGAATTTGGTCTTCTTCTTGTAAAAAAAAATTTCCGCGACTGGATGCCATAATCTAAGGAGATAAAGTTGTTGAGGATGATACTATTATGATTAAGGGATGCAAAGAGTTATGAATATAGAATAAGAAGAGTTGTGGTGGAGATATAAAAATTGTGCAAGTATTATATAGGGATCGGATATGGGGAGTCTTCAACACGAAAGGAATCCAATATGGGGAACATGAAAGGAATCAAATGTGGGGAGTCTCCAACATGAGGAGAATCCAATGTGAGGAGTCTCCAACACCAAGAGAATCCAATGCTAAAAAAGAATCCTATGCGGGGAGAAATATTATATAATGATATTACATCCCTCAACTCACAACTTATATTTTTATTTCTATAAACAACTTCTTCAACAATGAACTATGGAGCCGAACCGTCACATATACCCTCTTCTTCTTCTTCTTCTTCTTCTGACGATGAAACATTTTCTCAGTACATTAAAGATTAGGAGGAAGATATGACACAATGAGAGAAGGAAGATGAAATCTTAGCTCGTGTATATGCCTAATAATAAAATAATGACTTATCTCTCTCAAGAGGCAGAGCAACCAAAGCGTATTGGCTCAGTTCCTGGTCATTTGGTGATCAATCACGGGAGGGAAGAAGGTAATTCTCGACCCTACAATGACTATTTTTTTGATAATCATAAATATGGTGCAAATCTATTCTGTAGAAGGTTCCGGATGCAAATGAGTTTATTCCTTCGTATAGTCGAGGCGGTGCGTGAGCATGACAACTTCGTACAAAAGATGGATGGTGTCGACAAACTTGGGCTATCAACTTTACAAAAAGTAACAACGGCATTTCGCATGTTGGCGTATGGAATATCAGCAGATAGTACTGATGAATATGTTAGAATCGGTGAGTCAACTGCAATTGTATGTTTAAAGAAATTTTGTAGAGCAATTATAGAAGTATATGGAGATGAATATCTAAGGACCCCCAATGTTGATGATATTGCAAGGTTATTGCAAAAGGGCGAAGAAAGATTTTTTTCAGGAATGTTGGGAAGTCTAGACTGTATGTATTAACAATGGAAAAATTATCCAACAGCGTGGGTAGGACAATACTCAGAACATCATGGAGGTCCAACAATTATTCTTGAGGCAGTAGCATCATATGATCTATGGATATGACACACATACTTTGGCTTACCAGGATCCAATAATGATATTAATGTATTGCAGTCGTCTAATTTGTTCGACAATCTATCATAAGATATTGCTCCTCCTGCTCATTACACAATTCAAGTTAAAAATTATGATGTTGGTTATTATTTGGCCGATGACATATATCCGAAATGATCAACACTTGTTCAAACCATTTCCAATTCCGATGATAAAAAGAAACAATATTTTGCAATGATGCAAGAAGCATGTCAAAAAGATGTGGAGCGGGCATTCGATGTTCTCCAATCACGATTTGCTATCATCAAGGGGTCAGCCCGTTTTTGGGATAAACGAACTCTGCATGATATCATGACTGCTTGTATTATAATGCACAATATGATTGTCGAAGATGAACGCGACGAGTAAGAAGATGTCGTCATTTTAAATCCACAATCAATTCCGAATGCTGAAAATATGGAGATAACCGAAACTGAAAGATTCTAACGGTTCCTTGCTCGACATAAGAGGTTGAAAGACAAAGAAGCTCATTTTGCACTGCGAAATGCATTGATTGAACATTTGTGGGAAAGACATGGAAATGAAGCGATGTAACTTTTTTGATTCAAGTTTCGATGTATTTCAATATTAGTATGTTTAACTTCCATCTAATTTTCTAATACATTTTTATTTTTAATTACTTGGTTTTTGGAATTTTATATTTCAATTAATATTATTCAATATTAGTCTCATTTTGAAGGTATCGACGAGACATTTCCAACTTTAAAACTTTTATTTAAAAATAATTAGTAGAAATAAACTTATGTTGATTTTAAATGGAATACCTAAAAGTAATTAGTTAGTTTGAAGGGTAAAATAGGGATTTTTTTGGTGAATAGTGATATAGAAGGGACTGCATATTTGGAGGAAAAACTCCAAATATACAGCTGGTGGGGGAGTTTGTAGCCATGCTCCATTTTTTGGAGCTCAGTTGGAATGTCACCGGGCTGCATTTTGGAGAAATGCAGCCCGGTTGCAGTTGCTCTAATGGGAGGTTCAATTATGACAGAAGATGAACATTTAAAACTCTAGAAGTTATTTGTTTAATTTTAGACTATTGAAAAATTTTACTAATCCTCATTTTACTAAAAAAAGAGGAATTATTGCAAGGGATAAATCAAATGAAATGGGCATAGACAACAGATGCTGCTGTTGTAAGCCTTGCAAAAGAGCAAAAGGATATAATTAATTTGTCCAAGCAATAGCTTAAAATTACTATTATGCCATCAAATTTCTTATTAAGTAATTGAATGGGAATGTCAAGAAGGTAATTTTGTAATACACATGAAATTTAGAGGGCTTTATAGGTAAAAAAAATTTTAACATCCCCCACACTTTTAGAATTGTGTATATATATTTATATACATTAGATAGATTAGATTAGATTACAAACAAAATATGTCCAAAATAATCAACTTTCAATAAAAAAATAGGAACCAAAATCCATTTTACACAAACATCTATATATGTTATTTAAACAGTAAAGTATGCACTAATCACAAAAGCTATCCAAGAAAAGATCACTATAATCGACTAGCATTATGCAAAATAAAGAGCATCAAGAGTAACTCAGATGGGTTTCTTTTGTAAATAGAAATTCTGTTGACTCACTAGGCTTTCAAAATTGCTCAAAGCAATAAACTGCTATAAAATGATGATGTTAAGATACAAAAATGGGTGCGCCCAAAAAGAAAAAAAAAACATAACTTTAACAGAAAACCATATTACCAACTTAGATCATACAGCACACAATAATTGGAGTTTTACGCCCCCACTGAAATTGCCGAAACCTCTTTTTGTGATGCCAACTTGGCTTTCTTTTCTCCAGACTTCTTTGATTTGCTGGACTTCCGTTTCTTGGATGAAGGCCTTTCCTCCATCTCTGGCAACGACATTTTATCATCACTAACATTCTCATTTGTTGATTTATCGTCTATTTGCCCATTATTTGAGGACACCAATCGGTTATCTGAAGGCAATATAGCTTCCGATTTGGATGATGTTGCATTGATATCTGGATCCAACACTGACATTCCGACAAGAACATAATCCAATAAGAATGTGCTTCTTACGAGCCTGTCAACTCTGCTGAAGTGCCTCTGAGAGTAAGGTATAAGGCCTTCAAGAAGCTCACTCACGCCTTTTACCTGAAAATTTCATGATGACATGATCCGCATTTAACTTGTTAGTTTGACAAAATAAATTTTGTACTTAATGCGAAAAAATTCCAGGCAGCATATAGCACATATACAGATAAATCTCATTGAAAAGTGGAGGGTCAAATTCTCAGGAAAGAGAAAAGAAGTGACTAGCAGTTTTTTTAGCTCTGGAGGCACATATATAGTAAACCAGTACCGTGCTGCTAAAAGATTTGGTGACTAGAGTTGGTGTACAAAAATATTTTTGCAACAGAACATGGAATTAAAGGGTGTGTTTTGCAACTTTACACTAATCCGGTTAAGGCCTGAACTGGGTTAAGATTGAACCCAAGTGGAGGTGGTCCAAAGATAATCTAGATAAGGAACTCTTTTTTTGAACTACAAAAACTAGTCCAATCTTGGATAAGTTTTTGCCGAACACATTTTTAAGTCCTTATCTATTTCCACTCAAAATAGAAGCCGTACACTTTTCTAGCTGACATCTTTCATAAAGGGAGAGACCATATCCGGTTGTTGAGATAAATACGTGGCAGCATGGCATGTTAGCTCAAGTGGCAACAAAACTTATTTCAGAGAAATAATTATATTGCACAGGGGTCTATTACCTCCATAATCTCGGTTGGGGAGAAAATTTTAAATGCGCAGGAAAGAACAAATTGCGCAACATGGCACAGTCTGGGCTTTGTGTTCCACTCCCGTATATATTCCAGAAGTACACGAAGTTCTTCCTTACTAAAAGCGGTCAGAGCCTTCTCTAGTGACTCGTCTGAACCTTTTCTCCTGCATATTGAACTGACTATAAGCAAAATACAAATGGTGAACAAAAAAAAAGAGTTACAGGCTGTTGCTTACCTACACAATTGCGAAAACAAATCAAGAAGTTGGTGTGGTCTCCGGAGTTCAAATGCAAGTTGAATTGCTCTCGTAAAATCAGAATCTTTAACAGCATTCTCCAGCTCTTGACCTCTCACAGTGGCTTCTTGCTGTAATAAGAGGACAACCAGAAATTAAATATCGTAGGAACCTGTCCGCAAAACCTACTTTGTTCTCTCTACTATGTGTAACACTGAGCGTGTGGCAGGAAAATCTCTGGACAATGCAACATATGAATGAGTATGTCACAACATATGAAGTTCTTATAGAAAAGGATGTCATGAGTTACTGAAGTTTGGATCAAACCATAAAGCATGGTATGAAAGAAATTTTGAACAAAGTATAAAAACACTTGGGCTCCAACTTAAAAGTCAATTTACCGTCAACTTACCAAGAATTGAATTTTGATTTAAAAAAATAAATGAATTCATCATATAAAATGTAGAAACCACTGAATTGACACTTCTGCAAGCAGTCATCCCCTCAAAGTATATATTCATGTTTTACATGTCTTTGAACTCTTTGCATAGAAACCGCTAAAACCTTCCCTTCCTTTTGCAGGGGAACAAAAGCGGTATTAAGGACTGAACTTAGAATCTCTCATTACTAACACTGTTATAACTTTGCAGGCCTCCCTGATCATGAGCCCTCAAATATAATTTTGAAAGCATATACTCTTATCAGTATTCATACCATTGTAAGTTGGCTATTATTGTTGTGACTCCTTCACAGAAGAGAAAAGATTACATGCCCCAAGTTATAATTCTACCCAACCTCCTTTTGTATTTTCTCACTGATAAACCCCTCTAAGTGCGAGCTTTGAAATTTGAATCACATTAGAGAAGTTGAAATTATATATCCATTCAAATTTTATAAGAATAAATTTTAGTCATGTGCTTTGCCATTGTGTGTATGATTTACAGTAACTATAGGGACCCGTCTATGATATTGGAACATAAATCTATATAAGACATGCACACGCCAACACACACAAAACATACACATATACACATTGCCTTGATATCTAAGAGGTGTTGTGTTAAGTTTGATGCCACATACGTTGTGCATGCCAATCGTCTAGCATTTCCATAACTGAAAATTCTACATCTCATAGATAAGCATTCACAAAGTTTTTAAGTGAATCCTCGACAGGTTTCGCCCGATGATCTTAAAGATTTAACATGCAGGACAGATAGCTAAAGTCTGGTGGGAGTCATAACACACATCACAATGCTCAACTTAAGATGCTTACTTCTCTATGGAAAGCTTCCTGCTTCTCTGCAACAGTGCTATCATGCCACAAATTAACTACAGCATCAGTACCACCACTTGCAAGCATTTCTGTCTTCTTGCCAACAGCCAGTGCCCAAATCTGCAAAAGAAAGAACAAATGACATAAGCGGAGAAAAGAAGTACCACTCAAGAAATACAGTTGTAATTTGTACTTTAATTATATAAGAAATAACTCCCCCTCAGGTGTACTGTTGGTTATGTGATATGGGTGTTAATAGAGGAATATTACACGAATTAAAGGGCCACAGAAAGTAGAAGGAACAGCTTTCTCACTGCCCACCATAAATAGAGTCTGTAACACGAATGCCTCGGCAGTCCAATAATAGGCTTTTAACTGGTTAATAATGTATCTAAAATATATTATTATATCTGCATGAAGCTTGCTATAATAATAGATAGAAGCGTCTGATTAGCTTCCATGTACCTTTACTAAGAGGACAAAGCAGGACAAAGTAATCAAGGTGCTAGTGTTCTTGCAATAACAGAACAGATTTCTTTCCCAAAAAGATTCTCTTCTTTCTGTACAATCTTCCAGGTAATGAAGGTATATTTTGCCAAGTACCACAAGCCCTCGAATGCATTGGAACGTCACAGTTTCAATACATGGTTACAGAATAGGGCTTAGAAATTGAGAGAGAAAAGGAAAATTCTGTCCATTTATTGGATCAAAACCAGATGTCATAGTCGGGTAGGTTTTGGCGCACCCAAACTGATCAAACAACAGGCATGCAGTTTGAGCCTGATCCAGACCAAATCCGATTTGGTGCTACTGCAAGAGGTTTGTGCCCAATATAGAAAAATTTCGATTTGTCAGAGCGATGGTTTCGGAGAAGAGACTCATATTCATGATAACAGCACCTCTTCAGCAACTATGTGATCACATGTATCTGCATGCAATTTATATGGTACCAAGTTCCCACAATAATGCAGGAGTAACAGAGAATTGTGAGGATAGCAATACCTTTCCTTCATGCTGATCATACGTAGCAATGCACTCATTTGACTTGATAGTCCACAGTTTAACCAAACCATCACCACCTTAAAAGGAGAAACATACCAAGTGTTTTAATTGTAATGGAGTGAGAATAAAAAGTTCAACCAATAAATAGTTCATAGTCAGAAAGGAAAAATACCGCATGAAACAAACTGGGTGCCACGAGTGAGGAATGAAGCTCTTAACACACCGGAAGTGTGACCTTCAAATGTTTTCAAACATGAACCATCAGAAATGGCCCATATTTTTACAGTCTTGTCGCCAGAAGATGTTATCACACATTGCTCCACTGGCGAGAATTCGACAGACCATATTCCTCTCTTGTGTCCCCTAAGAGACACCGTGAGTACTAAATCGGGAAGCCTCCATACGGATGCAGTGCGATCCTAACATAATTGCAGATGTTACAATAAATATTCAGGTAAGACTGCTTGAGAAAGGTACTTGTGGTAATAATCTAAGAGACATTTGGACAATATAAGATGAGACTTGCTAACCTCAGAACCACTGCAGACAAGACTATCATTTGGGGAAACAGCAAGAGAATTTATATCCTTATCATGTGCAGCCACAGTTGCTTTTGATTTAAGTTTAATCTCCTGATCCAAATCTCCTGAGACACCGTCAATACTCCACACCTTGATTGTACGATCACTTAAGGAGGGAAAAAGAGATTTTGTAACACACACTTAAGGAAATAGACCAATTTAAAAAAAGGAGAAGACATGGACAAAGAAATATTCCGGGTCTTGTTTTCAGAGTCTTATAAACTGAATATTTATGTTGGGTTTTTCCTGCCAGCAGAAGAGATTTTAAGCAATTACATAATCATATACACGCCAAAAGAATTCCCTCATTGAAGTGATCTTTGCACAGGGTAGGGGCTGAAATTATTGAAATGATGAGGGTCAAATTACTAACTTTGAACAAAAGAATTTTCACGATTCAGGGGATTATATGTAGTTATACTACTAACATTAAACAGAATATATTTCAAATTGTTTTCCTATGGAATATCTTAGGCTAATATATTTTCAAATTGTTTTCCTATGGAATATATTTCAAATTGTTTTCCTATGTAGTTATACTACTAACATTAAACAGAATATATTTTCAATACTAATCAGTAACCAAAAATTTAAGGTAGAGGGTTGACACGCTTCCTTCATTGATTATTCACATGGAATATCTTAGGCTTGCGAGCTAAGGAAATAAATTTTTAACATTTAACTCAATTGAAATTTGAAAATAAGATGATAAACAGAAGCACTGATGTTTTATAGCCTGCCTCAGGTATGAAGACAATTCCTACATAAATAATAATGCCAACGCCCTGGTCATCATTTTGATGCTTGTCTAGAAGAATTTTGGACACATGGCCCCAGGTTGCAGCGTGCCTCCCACCGAATAACCCTCCATATAATATTTTTTTAATGGAAATTTCTCTAGGCAAGAAAGCTGCACCAACTCAGATGCTTGACTTCAGACTAACAAACAATCATATGCTTGCGAAAGCTCTTTTGGTGACTCCCAACTAAAATTGAGGCCCATAACCAACCTTTTTTCTTTTTTTTAATGGAGAACTGCTTTAATGTCTGAGAACAGTTTTTCAATAGCTTACCAACTGCCGCTGACGAAAAAGTTTCTCCCTTTTCTTGAAAAAGCAACAGCTCCAACAGCTCCTGTGTGTCCTTCACCAATTCCTATACAGCCTCTTCTTTCAACATCCCATAATCTTACCTATAACAAGAAAATATTATTTATAAATTTAAAAAATAAAATTACATAAGAAGCCTTTTGACACAAAACTATAACAAAAGGTTGTAACTTGTAAGTTGGAACTGAGTGACTCAACATTTCTGGCTACCAAACGGAAATTCTGCTGTTACAATGTAGGCAACAAGAAGGATTTTCCAGTACATTCCAGCTATATACTTTACTAGACCTACAAACAAGATGTAAGTTTCAAGTTGACATGTGGCAGCTTGGAAATACAAGAAAAAGGTGGGGTAAAAACAGAACAATACACCACATATACTCTGTCTCAGGTTAAAATAACATTTTCCTCCATTTGGCTTGCTGATGCGACATTTCTCAGTTTAAATTAACAGCTGTAGTAAGCATCATCCCACTTCAGTGCCAATACACATTTTGGTTGGTTCGGTCCCAAGCCCTTCTCACTCCATCGATAAACATCATATACCCATCTTAATAAGCATGTACTCATAGGTTTCCATTGCAAATGTAAAAGAATCTCAAGAAAGATCTCACATCTTACCCTTAATTCTAGCATCCTCTAACTTTTAAAATTTTATTCATTTCTTATCCTATTATTTAACATATCCTAATCATCCATATCTTAACATGCTATTCAGTGACACTCATTGTCTTAATGAATGCAGTTGAAATTGGAAACTCGAGAATCATGAGATAAGTAGCAAACAATGGGATCAGATACAAACAGCATAAGAGGCACTTCATTTTGGGATAATATAAGAGTCATTTCAGATTTGCTAGACCATAGTCAAATGTTTGGTATCCAGAATAACTGCATAAACATAATAACGTTCAATGGAGATCTGAACATGCATAAAATTAAGGGAAAATTGCGACAACATTCGGATAAACTAAGAAGATTAATTGTCTTGCATATCTAAAAAAATGGTTACTGAAATTAAAACAGAGAAGCTGCTCCGACACACTATAATTTATGTACATGTGAGCAACACTTGAAAGAATGGATCATATGTGATTCTGCACCTATTTAACTAGTTACAAGTAATTCACATCCTTCTGAAAGAACAGTGAGTTCTTTGACTATGGTCTGGAAATAGTGCACCTACAAATACATACAAGTTTATGCATGAAAGAGATGTATGTTCATGATCACATGTACATACAAAAGGGCTCGAGTTTCCTAGTGAAGGAGCTCTTAAATATATTTCTTCTATTCAAATAACAACTACCAGGACTATCACTCATATATATGAAGAATCTTTTTATCACTTCCTTTCACATACTTTGTGAGCCACATGCTTCTATCTTCTTCTTCATTTATGAAAGAGAATGATAAGAATGAAATAAGGATCTAGTAAGGAAATAATATTAGCAATAAACTTAGACTACCTACGAGTTCTGCAACTTAATTAGTATAAATGTCAACAAATTTATGAAGTTTCAACGTCTGCTATAAACGAGGTAGAAACTATGCTAACCGTAAAAACATTAAGCTGCTGTAATTCAAGTAGCAAAAAACTTTTTCAAGATCAAAACCAGCTAGGCAATGATGTAAAATACAAGTCCAATCTAAGCAACATGCTGGCGACAAATAATATAAAACCAATGCCACAAAAAAGAATAAGGAGCAAAAATGGATCTGTGTGGCTTGCATATAAAGAATTATTTCCTGAGAGACTTGTGAAAGAGGAGAGAACTCTCCACAGAATTATGATGGTGAAATGAAACAACTCACATTATTGTCCTTGCTCCCGCTTAAAACAAGTGTCCTCCCAGAACTTGATATGCATGTATCCAAGCATATGACAATATCTGTATGCCCTGCCAAAACATAAGAGCATGACATGGATGCCATGTCATAAACTCGAACCTGTATTCACATTCAAAGTTGACCAATAAGAAAATTGCGTTGCAAATACGATCCAAGAAGTAGAAGAATGAAAATTTTAGAGGGAAGGTCACTAGAGTTTGAATTTCAGCAAACAGGAGATATGCTATAAAGGAGATGGAATACCTGTTCCAAATTTGTAGCCACAGCAAGAAACTTTTCCTCTTCACCAAGAAATTTCATATCAAGAATTTCTTCGTTATATCCAACAAGTCTTTTATACAAATTCAACTGAAAAGCCCCTTCTGAAGATTTCTCAGGGTGATAGAAAACAAATTGCTGGTCACCAGTGACACAAAGCAACCCTTGGTCAGAAGGCAAAATAACAGCTGATGTGAATCCTCTTTCAGCATTGTCTTTATCCGGGCCACAAATTACATCTGAAGCTCGCTGCTTATATATGCAGGTACCACTGTTTACATCAAGTTAAACAAGTTACAGTACATAAAATAGGTAGCTTTTAGATGAAAAAAATCTCAAATAATATGCTGATCTTACCCTTCAGAGCTCCATATGCTTATGATACCGCAGTCACCAACAGTCAGAAAATAAACAGCTGGTGAAATACTCTTATTTTTCTTCTCAATTGGCAATTCACATAGCCCCAAGCAAGAAGATACTGCAGTACCATCATAGATTGCAGAAACAGTTTCAACCATCTCATTTACTAGGACAGTCATCTGAAAGCTGTAATTGTGCAGGTCCCACAGATTGACAACCTGAAAACATCTTAGCAATTAATTCTTGTAGCAATGACTAAAGTTAAATAAATAAATAACCAACCTGATAATATATATGTAGGTGAGAAGGTCATTGCACAAGAAAAAGTATAGACACAATCTACTAGTTTATTCATCCAAAACCAAGTGAAGAACTTAAAGCTACACATTACTGGATCATATACCTTTACCATCCATATTAAACTAGTTAAATGACTTCTTCCTTTCTTGCTTAATTGTCAAGAAGATGCATCATTGGGTTATCTGCTAGTAGCTAAAATTACACTTAAAAAAATGATCTTGTTGTTTACATGCTTGTGAATGAACAAATAAGACGAAACCAAGTCAAAGCATTTACTGAGCTACTGATCAAAACAGCCAAATTAACACAGCGGCAAAGACGACATGCTAAACTTTTGGATAAAGATTAAGCTTTAATCAGTAAGGAGTAGATAGTGAATAAAGAAGCGTGTTCCATGTAGGAGATACAGCATCCAGCTACTGGCTATTATGGCCAAGGGAAATCATGTATGCTAAGTTGCTAACACAAGATAACAGATGGCATTTGATCAAACTAGGGGTTCGAACTCAGGATAGAAGTTAGCAGTCAAAGTTTTCTCTGTAAGAGTGAATGCTCACAACTTAGACCAGAAAAGATAGCATTTAGCTTTAAAGGCATGTGCTAAGTAGAAAATGCAATCTGGTCCAATTGACCAGAGAATAAGGAAAACTTTCAATTGGTACACTTTCATGGTTCTAATTATGTACATAATAATAGAGGATCATCTTAAGAGTACAACACGATTAGTCCATACCATGCTACCATTGAGAACAGAAAAGGATAGTAGACAATTATAACCAATTAGGGCAGGTTACTGCCATCAGTGCACATTGCAGTATTGTCACATTAAATAAAAAAGCAAAGAAAATGCACTTTAGATGTCATTCAAAATGGACTATAGTTGATGAGAGACTTTCTTTTAGATCATACAGGAAAAAAGCATTACTCAAAAGAGAACTATGCTAGAACACAACGTTAAGGGATGGTTTTGTGAGAAAATGTAAAGAGAAAGCTCATGAACAACCTAGCATCCAAAAACTTTGATGTGTCAACTACAAGACCAATCAAAGAGGACAGGGCAAAGAAATATTACTGCAAATATGTCAACATTAACTAGTTCATTAATCAATAATAGAATGTCCAAACATGCCTGGTCTCTTCCAGCACTAAGCAAGGTCAGACCATCTTGAGACACTGACAAGGAAGTCACTGATGAAAAATGCTTCTCAAGCACCGCAATACACTTTTTACTTTCAAGACTCCAAACGCGCACGCTTGTATCATCACTTCCTGAAAACAACTGAGACAAGCAATATGTTAGTGGTCAAATAGATAGATCACCTGCCAAAAGTAAAAGGTTAAAGACAGAATGATCAATGTTTTTCACTTTTAAGCTAAAAACCTATAGATTTCTGGCTATTGGAAAATAAGGATGTTACTCAAACTTCAAGGTCATGACCCCAAAATCTTCATGAACAGGAAGGTGACATAGAAACTGAGATCCGATATTTTGCAGTAAGTTCCATACAGGTGCTTTTATCTAAAGACATTCCCATCTGGTGCTTTCATTTCAGCTATGAGAACATGTCCCCACTTTGGATATCTTTTAGTTCGATGTCATTAGGTAACTGAACAGATAGTTGCTGGTTTAGTTGAATGACTAAGGCTGCCAAATAAACTAAGTAAAGCCAAATTATCTCATTGTAACAAGTGAAAATAGAACATGTTGACCTCAAAAGTTGAAAATAAGATGAAAGAATACATGAGAAAGTACTTTGTGTTCATCTATCTTGGTGCCCACTCAAAAATAACATCTAAGTCCCATTTCTGTAAATTCAATAAAGTCAATCAACTCAGAGAGGATGATTAGAATTTACCAGACTGTGACAATTCTCACAAAAAGAACTGGTTAGGGAGTGTTATAGACCTGGGATTCTTAAGTAGGACTGAGACAGTGGTTCAAGTTTGGGCTTATTCTGGACCTAGGACATTTCCCGGGCTTCGGTTTGGGACTAGAGGTGACACAATTCTAGAGACCTTTTTATGAAATGATGCTGTTTATAATCTTACTATTATGAATATGCTAATTAGACTGAAATCAATATGGTATTTATTATCTAGTACACAAAAGAAAATTATGCGGTCTACAAACAATGTTGGAGAATGTATCATGCCAATAACTATGGCTTCTTAACAATGATGTAACCTGAAGGCCTTAGATGATAAAGCCACACACAATTAAGATAATAAGAGAGAATGTGTAGAATTACAAAGAATATTACATTTAAAGGTGGAGAAATCATCTTAAATAGCACACCAGAAGAAAGCTACCTTTGAAATAAAACAACATCAGGTACCCCAATTCATTTTGTAGAATATATGTGGGATTGCACACAGTATGATTCTTATATAGTCATGTTCATAGCACAGGATAACAAATTGTTAACTTATACGTTTACTTTATGTCAATGTTTTGGTTGTTCCAATTAGATTTCCTTGCCTTCAACTAATGAAAGATCTTGTCAATTTTCTGTCGATAATTGCAGTGCTATTAAGCAAGTGCCAAGGTATATATTATAAATAAGACTGTAAGAGGTGATTTATTGCTACTTAAAACTACTACTCAGTACTTAGTACATGCATCTTTTTTTTGTACATGTAGATGTACCTCTACTATCAAAACAGACCAATTCGCATAATTATAAGGAATATTTTACCAAGTTGACAATTTCCGTTGATTTCAGCAGAAAGCATTTGAGAGACACTTTAAACCAGTGTCAGGTAACACTAGATTTCTTTCTGAATCAAAGCAAATGACCTCCTTACAGATTTTTTTACAACATCCAACTTTTGTATCTTCCTCATTCTTACAGATTTTTTTTACAACAGCCAACTTTTGTATCTTCCTCATAGGTAACAAGGTCTCAATGAACTGTGCCTCATTAGAATGTCCATACATGCCAAACCCATTAGCACAGCTCTCATGAAACATCCAAGTTTCGTGGAGGTAATAAGATCAAATGACCAATAACCAACACGATTTGTTGTACTGCAAATGTGCATTATCCCATTGATGCATATTGCATCCAAATGAACATGGAGGGTATGGGTATGCATTAGGGTAATACTATTGCATTTCAGTAATAATTTAATACTATCAATTTGCACAGTGAAAAGAGAAACATATTCAGAGAGAACTAAGACAACTCTTCCACTTACAATCAAACGCTTTGGATCAGGATGGAAAATAATGCTTGTCACAACCCCCTGATGACCTCTGAAGAAATGTGTGCAGAATCCACCATCTACATCCCAAACACAGACTTTTTTATCTGCCCCCGCTGTAGCAAGCAGCCCTCCTGAAGCATGGCAAGCCATGTGCATTACTGGACCTTCATGTCCCTATCATCGGTAGATCACTCAGTTAAAACAAGGTTTTTCCAACTTAAAAAGGTGAAGGGAATGGTTATTCTAATGCTTTAGTAGCGTAATCTGTGTGCATACGTGTATAACTCCAACTAGTAGATATCTAAACTCTGTCAAATAAGAGGGTGATATACAACACAGATCTTGACGTGAAATTTATCAGTAACACCTTTGTTCTTCTAATTTTGCATTATATCATTACCATTAAAAGCTTTCTACATCAGGATTGAGGACCAGGTCCTCCATGAAGAAATTATACAAGCACTAGCCCCGAAGAATTTTTTTTTAACAAGATTCTAGGAGAATGTGTTTTACATGAGAAAAGAGTAATTTAATAAAAACTCAGAACCAAATTGTAGTTTGCAATAAATTTTCTGTGAAGTTAGTGATTGGAAATGGTTGGAGCTAAAACTTAACCAAATACCTAAAAAGTCTATATAAGTCTTCATCAAAATCATATTAGGTTTGAAGCAAATGATCCTTTACATGGATTGCATCTTTCTGCCTTCTTGCTACAAAAAATTACAATGAGTATTATGGATTTAGATTCTCTTAGTTCACTATTACAAGATAAAAAATGCAAGATTATTTCCCTCCACAAATTCCAAAAACTAGCAACATAGTGCAGCAAAGTGCTTTGCTTTGAAAAAAAGAAAACTTCAGAGTTATATCCTTGTCCTGAAGAAAAACATCTATGGAACTGTAACAGAAGAAAAAAAGTTGGAGCTAAAATTTCTTCCAAAAATCTTCAGAAAATGTACAGTATCAGAAATATTGTAATAAATTTGACAGACTATCTTTTACACTGCTTCCATTATTATACCATCTTCATGCTATTCGTCCTAATAAAACTGAAGCAAGCTTAATTACATACTAAACCATGAGACCATGTCCTTCCATTTCTATAAATAGAACGCATTCCTACACTTTTGCTTCACTATTACAATAAAAACGAATAGTATAGCATAGAAATCGTTCTGGTTATTGCATTCATTGTCATGAGGCACTGAGAAAACGTGCAACATTTTATTTTTAAAGGTCATCTGCATTTTGATTCCTCAAAATTCCACACTTTTTTAACTTTGACACCCTCAAGTTCTCTTTTGACAATTTGATACTCTCAAGTGCAGAAGAGATAACGTTAGTTTTCTTCAAGAATAACAAAAAATAGAACAGTGAATGAGAAACAAATCTTCTTACCAAAATTCAATTTTTTTGAGTTTGGCAGCTTCGGGGTATTAATTGGAAGTCTCAAAGAGTTAAAATACAACTTTTGAGTACCAAAGCTAATAAAGGTGAAACATTAGATGTATTAAAGTGCAAATAAGCCTACTTCCAATAATACCTACAGCTAGAACTTTTAACAAATGACGAAATTATCTCTCTTTTACCTTCCATGATCGGATGCACTTGAGTGTTTCAAGATCCCAAACCCTAATAAGCCGGCTGTGACTCGACGAGAAGAGGAACTTATCGTCGGGGCTCAGAGCTAGGGCAGTGACGGCCTCCGAATCCCCCTCGAGAGTCAGGCGCAGGTGATGAGGCCGCCGTCGGAGGAGACGGCGAACGGTCCCCCGCTGTAGAACTGCTGCAGGGAGGAGACACAGCGGTAGTTCTTCTTCAGGGCTTGCGACGCCGTAGTCGCCATCGGCGGCGGTGGAAGACGATTAGGAGAGATGAGAAAGCGAGGGTTTTGGGAGAAGGAAGAGACAGCCGGGGTTTTAGGGTTTTGGCGAGATTTTCAGGGGTGAGGCTTTGCACGTGTGGGCGGGTTGCGTATGGGTTTACCGGGTCGGGTCGGTTGAGTATCGTCACATGGATCCGAAACTTAACCCCGACCCGCGAAGCGAAACCTCCCAAGTCCCAAGCCCAGAAACTTCAACGAACGAGACTCTTTCATCGAAACGAGGAATCGATCGAGAAGTCCAAACAAAATCGAGAGCCAAAACAGCGTCTCGTCACCGCCGCCGTCATCGCCGGGGACGATGAGCTGAACATCACGGCTCCGCCGCGCGGAGTGCTGTCACCGCGCGCCGCCGGGGAAGGAGCCAGCAAGCGGCAGGGGTCGGAATCTTGCTGCAGATTCTCCGATGCTGGTGCTTTCGTTTGTTCTTGGTCACGTGCTCCGCAGGCATAAGGTCTATTATATGCCCGAGGCCAGCGCCTCTCTCCTCATCGGTGAGCTCAATTTTGTAGATTTCGTACAATTCGTTTGTAATTAGGGTTCTTTTCGTCAGAATTTCGATTACCTTTTTTATCAGATGACAGAATCGTAGAACAATACATAGTGGAATACTTACTAAAAGGATAAATAAGAAGGATTTTTTTCATGCAAAATGGAATACATTGGTTCATTTTACCAATATATAGCTAAAGTTGAAAAAAAATAATTATATTGCGTTGATGTGAATGCATTGCTCAATTGTCACTGGTCTAATCTGCCGAATCAATGCCAATCTTCAATGTGCATAATTTAAAAATATTGAGAATTAGATTAACCTAAGTTGCGTGGAAATGGTTACGGGTGACGGAACGGGTACTGGACATGGAAAATTTGTAAAAGTTAGGGTACAGGAACATAGGTATTAGGTATATAAATATTTATGTACCCATACATATATGAAATAATTAAAATTAATAATTTATACGAGATCAATGTTGTTTTCCATTCACGTGTTATGAGAATTAAAATTCCTATAACACTTTTATGTTTATTTTACTATGTTTGTTATAAAATGGAAAACCATCATTTTTGAACTAGACACCCAAGCAAACCTTTAAAATTATAGTTTGAAACTTGATCTATGTTCAATGAGTTTTAGGAAGTATATGTGAAGTGTAGGATCTGCGTCTGAGAAGTGTACTGTTCGAACTTAAAACATATATTACATAAGTGAGTACATGCCTGAATAGATGTTTTCATATATGCAAGGAGTGTCCGAGGAGTTTGGGCACGGGTACATGTCAGGTACAATATAGTTTTAGTTAGAACTTAGGAGTACCCAAGTAACATAGGATTTAACTGATCACTCCGCGAAGGGTCTCGTGATCAACAAGGTTGATTCATAGCTGAAATATTTCAGAGTTTGGTGATTGCTAACACATACTTCTTGGGGAACATGCACTTTGACTTGATTATGAACGATCGGTGAAGCAGCATCTTTATTTATGGAGTACATATATTACTCAATCTAGGAACTTGTAACTTGTAAGTTATGCGGAGATAAAGTTAGTTATGAGGAGATAAAGTGTGGGAAAATGGGTTGAGATAGTTCACCCATATGCAATAAAGACCAACTAAGTGGACAGTCCTTGGAGTAGGAACATTATGGAGCAATAAACACTATCCGTTGATATGGAAATAGCTAAAATTTGAGATGAAGGTGTTGTTATTGTACTGAATCAAGGATTTGTCAAGATATTGTGTAGGTAGTTCTTGGGTGACTGCAGGGTTGAAGTGACGGTCAATATTAATAGGTCTAACTGATGTTTGTTATTGTCCATGAATACATGCACTTAAAAAGAAAATAGTTTTGTTGTGTTCAAATGCCCATCATTTATTTGGTGACTACAGAGACTAGATGATGGAGTAGACCAAGAAGATTTGTCACCTAGAAAAAGTATGGTTTACTGCTGGGTTAACGGACTAGTTTTGATGTTTGGCGTAATTCATCAGATGCAAAATTTATTGTTGGAAAGGTTGAAAGTGATGAAGACAAGAGATCTAAGGTGTCAAAAGGATAGAACTGCAGTGATGAAGGTTCTGATCGGTAGCTTCATATTTGGAAGTTGGAACATTTGGAGACAGTTTGGTTAGTGTTGGGCTTTTGGTGCAGCAGGCATGCATTAAAGGCAGTTTCAAAACAATCAAGCAGCTGAAAGGGTAAAAGAAGAAATATAGGTAGAGAAGGAAGAAACGAGTAGAAAATAAAACGGAAGAGAAGCTCTGAGAAAGGTACATTTGAATGATAATGCAGTAGCCTATTATCTGTAAAATTATACGAGTACCTATGCTTCAAACCAACAAATTAATTGTGTGTGTATGTTGTTTGTGAATTGTGGCTACATTATAGTTCATGATCTTAGTAGGATTTCAAATGAGCATTATAGTTCATGATCTTAGTAAGATTTCAAATGAGCACTTGATACATACAGAATAGATATGTTGAGTACTTGCGAAGACTCACTTCCTCTGCATACCCCTTCAAGTATAGATCATGATTTACTCGTACGATCATTTATGTACTTTATGTAGCTACTCTTGGAAGTATAAGGGTATTGCTTCTAGAAGAAGTTAAAAAAACATGCACGCACGCTAGCACGCACCCCCACCCCCAATCTCTTTTTCTCTCGATGTCACACTAACACAAATTACATAATACATACATACATACATACATATGTCATTAACCTTTCACTTCAAATTTAATCTTGTTCAACATGGCATTTTCAAGATCTTATTTTAATAATTTCATCTTGTAGAATTCTCATTTTTAGCTGTTGCACTGAAAATGATTTTTTTTAATGTCCTTTCTTGTTGAATCACACCTTGACGATGGTGCACATGCATTTTGTCCAATCAACTAATGGAATGGCTGTTATTTCGACATCTACATGGAAACCATTTCTACGAGCTTATGTTTCTTTCTTTAAAAGGTCCATTTTAGTGTGAACTGTGATATGTGTACCGGAGATGTTTTGTATTCCATTGAAAACAAGCATTCATAATGGAAAGTTACACAAACAGTTCTTGAAATTATCTGGCATTTCATAATGGTTCCTTATTATTTCATGGCAGGTTTGGTCGTTGGGGGACTTGCCAACATATCTAATACAGAAAGAAACACAAGGTTTCTCTTTGCAGATGTCTCTTAATTTTTTCAGATATGTAATGTACATACAATTCGTTAAACCCCCATCTTGTATTTGATGAGTTTTACTACTTTCCAGGACCTGGTTCAATTTCCATGAGGAATTTTTCTTCCTCTTCTTGTTGCCACCGATTATATTATATCCTTTGACATGTCCGTATCTTTATTTTATTTACTTCGCCCTTCTTTTTTTCTAGTCTTGTTCGTTAAAGTGAACATAAGTGAGGCTTTAATTATTTTTCTTGACTGTTAGCATACTCAATCAGGATTCAGCTTATCTCCGGTAAGTTTGAGAAGGTGAAAATTCCTGTTGATACTGGAACTGCATTGGATTTGTTACTAATATAGTTTTCTAACATTCCTGACAGAAACCTTTCTTTTCTAATTTTGGTGCCATCGTCACCATTGCTATTTTTGGGACCTTCATTGCTGCAATAGTTACAGGCATTTTGGTGTAGGCAGACCTCTTGACCTTAAGACCTAATTTATTGCAGGAAATTTCCTGCTTTGCAACTTATCCTGAATTGTTGGTTAACTTTATTTCTTGCAGTTACCTTGGTGGGTTAACATTCCTGATGTATAAATTACCACTGGTTGAATGTCTTATGTTTGGTGCTCTTATATCAGCAACAGATCCTGTAACTGTGTTATCCATATTTCAGGTTTGCAGTCTTTTTCTGTATCTTTATTGGTATTATTCACACTGCTATCTTTATGTTTTTACGTAGAATTCAGCTAATGCATTGCGTAGTTCTTGAAACCATATGCATATGGTGATGTTTTCAGGGAAATGGAGACCTAGAACTTTATTTCTTGTTCTAGAAGAAGGGAATGGCTGAAAAAATAAACAAGAAACAGTTATTCTCCTTTTTATTTCCATACCAAGTGAACTCAACTGTCTCTTTTTTTCGAACTTAAAAAAGAAAATGCTTGCTTGCCCAAAATGAATTTTAATATAAGCAATATTTGTAAAGGAATCTGTAATAGGCAACCATAAGACCCCCTAGCATGACAAAGATTCCCTATATGTAGCAAGCTACTAGCCATCCGATATAACATTTTGTCACCATCATCTTCGGTCGTATATTTCTTTGGTACCTCACTCGAACATTGCTGTAATTTAACGGTACCAACTAGTAACCGTATAGGCCGTAAGCATCATCTAATCCCGGCATCCATCCGAGAAAAACAAGTCCAAACTATCTATTGTTGAACTAGGATGACACATTTGTTTCTTCTCTTCAATGATCTGCTTTATCTTAGGCAGAATGTTATCCTGATGCTTTTCAATCTTATCCAGGAACTGGGCACTGATATGAACCTTTATGCCTTGGTGTTTGGAGAATCTGTTTTAAATGATGCAGTAAGTGTTTTTTCCCATTGGTTAGCATCTCATAACTTATTGCATGATGTAGTCCTGTAGTTATGTTTATTATTTTATTTTAAAATGTTTCATTTCCAACCATTTTCCTTCAACCTTGGCAATTTTGAAGATGGCAATTTCCTTGTACAGGTTAGTTTCAAAGCTTGAACATGCCTATCCCTTCTATGCTGTGGCTATTTTCTGTTCGAAATTTTAAAGTTTATACTTTTTCTGCAGAACAATGTCTTCAGTAAGGAGTCAAGCCTCTGGCCAGAACTTCTTTATGCTTGTTCTGAGGTTTCTTGAGACATTTGTTGGCTCAATGTCTTCAGGTATGTAAACTTATTGAACTCTTAAGTTCAGTACCGCCGTAAAGTTTGCTACTTATTTCTGACATGGAAGCATCAACATTTCCTTTGTATTTGAGATGTAACATCATTGTTGCATTAGTTCGGGTTATTGGACCCTCCTCTTGAGGGGACTATCAATCAAAACTTGCACAGTTTACTTGTTGAAAATCATAGTGTTTGCTTGTTTTTCATTCATAGAGAAATTGATCATCCTCCAACTTAAACCTTATCTTTAATATTTGTAAAACAAAATATACTAGAATTTTGGATTTATAGTTTTCTAGCTAATGATTGAAGATTATACCGAAGTGTGGACTTGTATGCATTCCCAATCTATTTGCTTGATATATTTCAACGATGTCTGCTACTAATATAGTGGATATGGAACATATCATTTTCCACTATGCTCCTACTAGCTTGTATGCTTGATTTATTTTTATATTACACTTCTATACTCGTTCACTTAGTTGATCTGGGAGGTAACCTGTTGTTGGTAGTATCCCAGCTCGTCTTATTCGTGTAACCTTTCTGTTAACTATTTAATTTCCACTTTTAATAACATTGATATTTGTGTTATGTCAGTTACTACTTTTAATACCTCAAAATCTGGAATAAAAAAAAGTTGTGGATGCATACCTATATGCTTGCAGAAATTGAGATATGTTCTGCCAGTTGTTCTTGGGTGAACAGCTTTATTTCTCTACGTGTTTGATATTTAGTTTAAAGAAGGCTCTCTTCTCAGATTAAATAACTGGTAGCTATTTTTGTAAACATTTGATAATGAGTACTTCTTAGGGATTGTGAAAGTTTTTTGTCTATATAAGTGCTTAATTCATAATCATTTTCTTGCACATCATTTATATTTCAATTGTTCATAACAACATTCCAGCAATCAACTCTTGTTCTGGATTTTAATGAGATTTTCAAGTGTTAAAGTTTTCAGCTTTCTGTGTTTCCTTTATTTAAGTCTCAAGTATTTTTCTCTTCTGATCTTGCTAACAAATATACTCTTAACAGGGGTTGGAGTTGGATTCACTTCAGCACTGATATCCTTTTGCAACATGCATATATGCGTAAATGCATACTTATTACACGCAGATGCATACACACATTTTTGCTCAAATACAATTATATATTCTGTATTTTTAATATATTCTCTAGATACCTTGAATCAGCTTAGCAAGTGAAGGTCCTTAAACATTGTCAAATAGTCCTCTCTCTCTCTTTCTTTCTTTTTTTGGCAAAAGATTTGTGAACATCTCATGCACATTTAGCTATTGATGCAGGATAGATCTCGATCTGAATTCTATAGAAGAAGTTAGATTTCGTGAAGATTTTATTATGATTTGTCTAGATCTTTTTTTTAAAAAATATCTGATGCAATCTTTTTATTTTAGGTAGGATTTCTTTTGGATTTGATATTAGAAATTTTAGGGGGATCTTTGAGATTTGATTTTATTAGATATTTATTTTGTTTCCTTAGGATTAAATGTTAGGATCCTTAGGATTTGATTTTATCTTTTTTCCTTAAGGTGTTTGGCAAGGGGTTAAGGGCGAATATTTAAGGAGAAGGAATAACTTGGTTAATCCTTCACGAGAGGTTAAAAATTATTTAATTCTGTTTGGATCCGATAGTAAAAATGAAGGGTTAAGGGCCAGTTTGGTATTGTTTTTAGAGTGTTTGTAGTTATTTTTTCAAGAAGTAGCCACTAGTAGTTTTTGGTGAAAACTTTTTTAGTATGCTTATCAAAACTACTTCTGCTTTTCAGAGGGTGCTTTTAGAAGCAACATGATGATGCTTTTAAAAGTAGTTTTTGCTTTTTTTAGTTTATATATCATATATATCTTTTATCTTTTAATAATGATCATTAAGCACAGTTCTAACAAACGCCATAACTGCTTTTTAACCTGTTTTTTTATTTGCTCACTAAACAACTATTTTCAACAACTTATATAAGTTACTTCTATAAACTGATTTTATAAGCAAATTATTATAAGCTGCAACAATACCAAACTGGCCTTAAGTTTTTCATGTTTGGCAGATAAAGAAGGGTTAAAGAGGTCAGTTGCCATAAATAATTTAAATGTAATACTTTTTTCAATGTTCCATTCCTTACTTCAAGAGGTAATAACTCTTAACCAGTGTCTTTAGGCGGATTTGTTAACTCTCTAAGTGAGGGGTTAACTAAGTTTAACCCTTGTAAAAGGTTTGTTAGCCCTTTGACCAAATTAACCCGTTTGGAGGGCTAAAGAGGGGTTAAACCCGCTTAACCTTTCTCTTAACCGCTTGGCGAACAAGGCCTAAAAGCTATCTTTTGTTTTGTTTAAATAAAGATGTAAGCCTCATTTGGAAGTCCTATGAATAAAAAAAAATTTGAGATTTGAAACTTGCATGTGAATTGCTAATGTTGTGATGCCCCTGGTGTGAGGCCCTTAAGTGTGAGGCATATTCTTAAGTAGGGTGTCAAACCCTTGGATGTGAAGCCTATTTATCAAAACCTCTCCTCTTCATTATAACTTGCATCCATTTTCTTCTAAGTTTCATCCAACAAATGGCCACAGAAAAGAAACCACCACGTAGCCTCAAAAACCCACAAAACTATCCCAATCCACCAAACAACCCCTAATTGGGGTTCTAAACTATATCCGTATCCGAGGAACTATCTGTAACCATATCTGTTAGGATACAGATATGGTTACTCAAATCTATAACTGATAGGATATGGTTATGCATATTGTTACGATGTTTTTTATCTTTAGATTATGAATTTCAGGTTAATTTTGATGATCAAGATGTCTAATCTTAGCTTTTCAGATATCATGAACATATTAACGAACTATATATTATAACACTACCTAGTTTTCTCATATCCATTTTATATCCACGATTCCACATGCGTATCCGCTATTGTACTCCCATGTATATCCGTATCCATATTCAATTTTAGTGGATATGGATATAAATTTTCCTTACCGAAGTATATATGTATCTATATCCATATCCATATCCGAAATGAATAACCAGATATGGATATGGTAAGTATCATATCCGAGCTGCATCCGGATCAAATGCACCCCTAGCCCCTAACCTTTATCCCCTTGCTGTCGTATCAAGCCTAAAGCATCAATCCTCCTTTAGTAGCCAACAATTTGTCACTTTCCAGAAGTATTCAACTCAGGTCAGATTCAACAAGCAGTCCCTACACATGTTCAGATGAAGCTCTCTGCTCGTTCCAACAATATGGTGGCTTTTCTATGTGAAGGAACAAAATCATAGATAAGTTTTCAAGGGCGAAGATAGCCTAATGGCAGTGAGATTTATGGTAAAATGTCTGACAAGTGTCCAGGGATAGTGTCGTGATGATAGATATAGAAGAGGGACCAAACAATAGGAAAAGTTCAAAAAGGTTGAAAAAGATGACGAAAAGATTGGGGCTGTAAAAGCAGTTTTCCTATCAGAAAAGAAGTATCTGCAAGCTACCATGTAATTTCTTTAGGCTTTAGAGTACATTGAAAATCTTGTTTTGGTTTTGGTTTGCAGAAATGAAGACAAATTCCTTGAATCTTATTTTCAAAATCTGGGTTGGTACTAGATTTATTGCACTGTTTGGGACCAAATGCACATATCATTTTTGACAATTTTCTCTGGTGAAACAATTAAACTAACCTTATCCTCTCTCACACAATACTATTGTTTTCTTTTCATTGTTTTTCCCTTTTCTTTGTATTTTGTTGGTTCGTTGAGTTAGTGTGTGAGGGAAGGAGGTGGGTTGGGTTCTGTTCTGAAAGAAGGGAATTTGAAAATTCTTCACGAAACTTGAGTGAAACATGTAACTTGGGGTGGAAATGAACCAAATAATTAACAAATAGTTCGATAATTGTTCGAATAACTATTTGATCATATTCGAATTGGTAGTTCGTTTACCACTAAACAAATTTTTTTAGCATTCTAGTTTACTAATGAATAGAATTTAACCAGATGTATAATTGATTCGTTTGTCTATTAAATATTCGTTTAAAATTTGACCCCACCTTATTATTTGTATTATTGCACATATGATGTCATATTTTTAACTTACTTACCATTTCTACTTAAGTTCACCTTATTATTTGTATTATTGCACATATGATGTCATATTTTTAACTTACTTACCATTTCTACTTAAGTTTTATATACTGATTTTAAGACTTAAATAATCTTAAATCTGTTTTCTAATTAAAATTTTGATTTAAATATATACATCGTATATTATAAAGAAATAAATTTTATTTATGAATTTTAATATTATTTGAAAATCAAATTTTTTAGCAGAATAAATATACTTTGATATTCGATAAGTATTCGTAAATATTCATGAATATTTATCAAATACCAAGTATTCGAGTTCGAAAAACTAGATATATGAATATTAGAGTCCGCAATCGAATTTGATAATTTTAAACAAATACAAATATGAACACCTTAGTATTCGATTCAATTCGATCGTTTACCACCGCTACATGTAACTGTATCCATGTGTAAAGAGTGGCATGGTGTTAGTACCACCAGCAAGGATCAGTTTCTCTAGATTAAGTCAGCATTTAGCTATGATTTACTTGAGGAACTAGTTTATGTTGTAATCTAAGGCAATAAAAGCTTCCTTTAAGGATTTTGTTATGTAACCAACCTTCCAGGATCAAGTCCTTAGAGGTTTTTGTCATGCAACCAACCTTCCAGTATCAGTTCATGTTTAGTCTAAATATTCAAAATGTTATTCTCATACCTCAAAAGAGTTGCAACTCTCTTAAATGTTCAAAATATCTTAGTTGTTTCGCAATCCGTTAGTGGCAGAAACATATCTGTAATTTATAAGTATGATGCATATATTCATATGACAGATTGCTGTTGTTAATCTTGACTACTGTGCACCTTTTTAAGTATGCTGGGTTGGATATTGACAAGTAAGCATTACTCGCTTTACTCTACTTTTTTTCACAATACTATTCACGTAGAAAATAATTTTCTTCTCTCTCGTTGCAGCCTTCATAACCTGGAGTGTTGCCTTTTTGTCCTCCTGAACTGTCGTTTAACTCTTGCATAGAGTCATCTAATGCTTGCTTTTAATTGATTTCAAATATTTTTCAGTTACATGTTAGCAGAAGGTTTGGGTCTGTCTGGTATTGTTTCAATATTGTTCACGGGAATTGTAAGTACTTTTTTAGTGATAGTACGCTGAGACTAACTTTGTCCTGTACAGTTCAAAAACTTCAAATTATTCTTTATATTTCCATTGTCTTCAAGGTCATGAAGCGCTACACATTCTCAAACTTGTCAGAAGATTCTCAACGGTTTACAGCTGCTTTTTTCCACCTGATATCTTCCTTAGCAGAAACATTTGTGTAAGGGATGCTCAGATTTAATGATTTCATGTAGTGATAAGTTTCTATGTTTATCACTTGTTCTTTCTTATAAGGTGCTTTTATTTGCAGATTCATATACATGGGTTTTGACATTGCCATGGAACAACACAGCTGGTCACATATTGGTTTTATCTTTTTCTCAATTGTATTCATTATTCTCTCCCTACCATTTTATATTTTCTTTTCATTTTTAAATAATATTGCATTACAATTTCATCTATCCTTGACTTTTTGTTTTTTATGAATGTTACAGCTGTTCATAGGAGTTGCAAGGTAACAACTATATCCTCTAGCTGTTTAATCTTGAATTGTACTTCTTTTATTCTCTAACAGCTTGGATTTTCTTATGATAATTTAGTATTTAGTTAGTTTTTCTATCTGGATGATTGTCCATAGTTTTCTATTAGAATTAAAGTAAAATTCTGATTTATACTGTAGTTTATCACATTAACCGTATTGGTTTTAACTATAAGGGCGGTGAATGTCTTCTCCTGTGGTTACTTGATCAACTTAGTTCGACCAGCAAATAGGCAAATACCACCAAAGCATCTAAAGGCTCTTTGGTATAGTGGTGAGTTGGTAGTCTTCTCTTAAACTTCTGAATCTAGTTGATTTTATGCAATAGTGCTATTGACATGTATTATGCTAACAGGCCTTAGAGGGGCTATGGCTTTTGCCCTTGCTCTGCAATCTGTACATGATCTTCCTGATGGACATGGGCAAATAATACTCACAACGACCACTGCAATTGTTGTTTTGACGGTAGGTCCGCATACCATTATTATTTGTACATGGGTTTTATACATTTAACAGTTTATCAGAACATGCTCTCGGCCTCTTGCTGGCTCCCATGCCCGTATTTGAATCCGACCTCTCTCATTTTTTGCAATATGTTCATGTTTCATATATGATTGTTTGTTTTTATGCGCCAATAAATTGTTAGCAGATGACTACTAATTTAGATCAGATACGTGCATGTGATCTGAGACTGGGCCAGATTCAAATGTCTTTTTTCAAGAGTACGCCATTCTGTATGGATGGAATGAACCACATGGTTCACCTAGAAAAGAATCCTTAACCTTCTTTGTGTTTTTGAATGTCTTAGAATTTTTATTTTGGACAAATGTTAGTAGTTCTAAGAAAATATTGAATTGCTTAATTAGAGTGCTTAAAAGGGTGCAACCCTTGCTTTAAGTCAAACTTGAGAGCTCCCTATGAAATTAGTCCCAAAGGAAGGGAAAATTTCCATTCATGGTTGACCTCCAAAGAAGATAGTCTGTACCAGATACTGTAGTTGTCTTGTACCTTTCAGTTTGCCATTTAATTTCATCGTTTGATTTGCAGTTTTGACGATATATTTTCCAACATGGCATGAATCTACTTGTTTCATTTTTAGGTGAATGAATCAAAGAAGTATTTTAACTTTCATAAATCTTTGATTCCCTTGATGTTTACTGTTTATGCAGGTCCTGTTAATTGGAGGCTCAACAGGCACCATGCTTGAGGCTCTGGAAGTTGTAGGTGATGTGCATGATGTTCCTCTTGGAGAGGTGGACCATAAAAACTATATAGTTTTCTCGCACTCCGTTTTTTGTTTATTTTAGAATATTTTATAAAGTGAGGATTTTTGGAATCATCGTAGATTAATCATGATGAATAGGTTTAGTTCCATGTGTAATTCTCTATCTGCTGTTTTTATCCCTGAACTTTTTTGCTCTGCCACATGAGGTGAATAGCTGATTTTGTGATGCAGCTGTGAATTGTGATCATCTGACTATATGGTCTTTAATCTACTATTTAGCTTATAGCCTTATTGAGCCTCTATTATTCAAAATACCTTTTGCCAAAAGAAGTCCCTGGTTTTCTACAAGGAAATGACTGCTGTTGGTGCTAGTAGTGCGGTTTAGGCGGGTTTGCTTCGGATAAGAGGCCAATCCTAACCACACTTCATGTCTTAATCTCTCAACTCAAACCTAACCCTACCTTGTGTTGGGGTTGAATTGTACACAAAGCATCTAACATCCGGGAGGGTTGAGCACGTGTCAGATCAGTGGTGTTTGTGTTTATTCGATTGAACTTTTAGATTAAAAGAGGGATTATGCATATCGTGTCAAGTCAAAAATAGAGGTAGGAAACATCTGATAAGTTCAATCCTGAAAGCATCTATGCTTCTATACATATGCTACATATTATGTGCGTGTGTGTGTGTGGTGTTTGTGTTGGATTGGCCGTGTCCAGTTTGCCTCAGGGGTTGGATTTTCAACACCAGATTCAACTTTAGTTTGGGCTAGAAATTTCAGCTTAAGCTGAATCCAATTTGAAAAACCTTACAAGTCCAGCATATTTACTAGGTTTCATTCAAGTTGGGCCATCAAGGCCCAAGTGCCCAGTTTGACTTCTTGTTAGGAATATCTCGACTTTTAAATCTCTGTTTTCAATTAAGTTGCAGCTTGAGCTTGTTCAACATCTCTGGCACCTTTTTTATTATTGAACCATAACAAAATTATGACATTTCTCATTATTTGACTGTTAAGCAGAGCTTTGAGGAGAATGGGTATATCTCCCCATCCTACGAAGAGGGAACATCATCTGGCAGCAGGTTAAAGATGAAACTCAAAGAATTTCACAAAAGGTATCTTATAGTTATCTATTTGCTTCACATGCTTGTTAAAATCCACTTGTTAACATACATTTGTTGGCTACCTTCCACAGTACTGCATCTTTCACAGCATTAGATAAGAATTATCTGACTCCATTCTTCACAAGCCAAAATGATGAAGAGGATTCTGGTAAGATATAATTTCCAATTAACAGTTTTTAAATTCACTTTAGCAGATAGCAACCCTATAAGATATTTATTTGACTTCTATGTGATTGTCTGTGGGCGTACTTGTACGTATGCCTGACTTTGCACAGACCATCCCAAACTCTCTGACACCTGATTCATGCCTCGAGGATGTTCTCATAGTTTATATATCTATACCCTAAGAATTTATTGGTTATGGTGTCTTTATGGCTGCATCCTGATGCTGATGTGCTTATCCTTGTGAGAGTCTTTTATTTTCGTTCCAGTCTGGCAGAGACCTTTGGGCTTTTTTCTTCAACTTGCTTTCGGTCTCATTGTTTAGTAAATCTGATTATATATATTTTTTGCTGCACTACCCTGCTCCACTTGTTTTATTCTCTTCATTATTCGACGAATACATTAAATGTTTCAGGTGATAACTGTTAATTTTGGATAGACCCCTGTTCTATAGCCCAATTGCGGCTAGATCTTGTAGGCGTCTAAAAATGCCTATAGGTGTCCGAATACAGCTCGAGACGAAGAGAAGACGATGAACATCATTATCCAAGTCGGAGAGGATTATCCGAATCAAAAAGGATTATCCAAAGCCGTAAAGAAGCTAACGAGCGCCTAAATCAAGTCAGCGAAGCGTACAAGTCAACAAAATGACAAAATACACAAAACGGTGGAAAAATAAAAGTCCGGAAGCCAAAAAGGTGCTAAGTGTCAAAATGACCCGCACAAATGCGGGTCACCACGAGGTGACCAGCACAGGCGCGGGTCACCGTGGTTTGCCCCGCACACCGGTATCCAAAAATGCGTTTTGATAGGTTTTCTTGGGATTTCTTCATTCCATAGTGTCCCAACTGACTTAATATCATCCTTATATGTGATTAGGCCGTTATTGACTGAAGATAAGGTTAAATCACTCATTCTTATCCGAAAACAGGATACCCGAAACCTTATAAATACAACCCTAGGGTCCCCATTCACAGGGCGTGAATTTTAATCAAGAGGGCGAGGTGTTGTCAAATTGTAGAGCAAGGAAGCACGAATTTCAGAGAGGCTAGCAGATCTTAGCGAAGTTTTTCAGCATAAAGAGTGAGAGTTCGAGAGATCTGAAGCCCTATTCCCACCATTCCTTGAGATCAGGCTTGGACTTGATCTCGAGAAGAGTAGCGATCTCGCTTGGTCGAGATTATTCACTTCAGCGATTACTTTCTTTGTGAAGTAAGAGCTTTAATCAATCTTCTGTCAACCGGATCTGATCCGCTGTGGTCCACGGATAAACCCTGACACCGGCAAAGATCTCGCGCAAATAGCAACGAGCGATAAACGTTCTCTATTGTGTGTTGTTTGAAGAAATTATAATTAATTTTTATTTTTATTGTATAAAAGTCTTATAAAAAGACTTATCTTTTAAATTGATTGTAACGATTGAAGTTGTAATGAATTCAACAATAAAGAAAGCAATTTCTGACCCAAACACACTGTCGACCATTGTGGGAGCCAACAGTCTCGTCGCGGAGACTGTCATGTCGTAACCTCAGATTCGGATCCCGGTTGAAGAAGAATTGCAGAAGGAAGAGGTAGTAAAAAAACCACCAAAATTGCGCCAAGAATGGAGATCGAAGTCCAGAACAACGGCCAAAAACATCGTAAAACATGGGTCACACCAAGGTGACCCG